GTAAAGACAGTGAGGAAAGGAACTGGCCACAATACCACAATATGCCGAAGGCCCTGGAAGTTGTCTCACTAACAAGGCAATCTCCAATGTCCGGGTCGGATGCCAGAACAACTTTACTTTGCCATCTTTTAAACTGTTCAAAACAACTGTCCTACATTCGCAGGGTTTTTCTTCAGTGCTAGATTATATAAGTGTGCACCCCTCCCCACCTTGCTTCTCTATTCCTGCACGGGAAATTTCTGTGGTAAATTAATGTAAGTGTTGTTTCAATGGTAACATTTCAAATGGAAATCCCCTGTGAGGGCATTCGAGGAAGAATTGTGGGCACGGGATTTATCGTGTGCGGTACGAAATGCATTTGTATCGTGGTGGCATGGAGCACTTTGTTTGCTGCCTGTGTTTATTTATGAGAGACTATATACATTCAAAAGATTATTTATCAACAGCTTTGTTTCTGGTTCAGTCAACTGATGAAACATAGCGGAGCCTACCTGACTTCCTTCCTTAGAGTAACTTATCTCCCTCCAATCTGAAAGGTATTCCGGCCTTTTGACTTTGTCGATATTGTTGGTGGTGGAGGAGGTTGGGTAGTGTTTAACAGAGAGTCCATCCCGGTCCTAGGCCCAACGACAGAATTTGTTTAAGAATCACATGTCATTGTCCTTGAGTACGAATTAGAACAATAAGACATCATCTGGAGGCACAATCCTCGACGGGCAGAAAAATTCAGGCGAATACTTTTCTCCGCTGCACCTATTTGACATTGATTCTTTTGACTGTGAAAAGTACTTAGCATTTGAAATAGATCTAACACCATGTTAAATGGATCTAACACCATGTTTGGAAGCAAATAAAAAAAAGTGTTACGCTTATTTCTCGAAAAAGGAGTCTTTTGTAAACAGTCCATCTCACTCGTTGTTTTATGTTTCATTTTCTACTTACCTACTTTCATTAGATTTATTTCACCAGGCATAGACCTAAAACATAAGTTTAAAACTTCCAGCTCAAAGTAGAAAGATTCTTCTAACTTGCAATACTATCGTTCAAAGTAGATATCCTTCCAAAATCTCGACCTTCCCTATCAATTTGAAGAACAAAAATTGAAGTCGCAGTACGACTTCCGACTCCAAGTAGACCTTTCTCAAGAGCACCTTATTAGCTTTTATGTTAAGACGCAACGTCGACGGAAGACCTACAAGTCAAAGCGCAACATGCCCAATTGAACATGCTAAATGTATCAGAGAACGGTCAAGTGCTCATTAACGAAATGCCTCCATAAGTATCTGCAGGTGAAGCCCGGCGGTCAAGGCTCATTTATCGTCGATGTTCAGCCATGTTCACAGATCCTCTGGTGCTGTTGTGATCATCGTCCGTTCTCTTCTACATCGTTCCTGTTGTCTCTTCATCTACTTCCCGGTACTTGCAGCAGTGAAACCCGCCTTTGGTCAGTGTTAGCTTTGCCTGGTTTCACATGAATACATGCCATATTATACAGCTAGTGGCGATAAAAGGGTACCATATTTTGATTGTGTATAAAATTAAGTTGTTTTGTGTTGTTTGTTTGTTGTTGTTTTTATTTAGTCATCACACTTTTCTTTCCACAGGAGTATAGCACTTAGTCTTCTTTAAAAATAAAACCCCAAAAACACGTTATTAAAAAAACATATTGTTGTATCGATTAGTGTTCATGGCACCAATGTCAAAACAAATCACTGGCAATTGCTCTCAACCACGTTGAGGATTATTTTCTTTCATTTCTTTCTTAAAAAATGAAGTTTAGGTCTGTGTTTATCAAAACCTGCGAATAATAATTGATCTGTGTAACCCAAGAAAGATAGTAGATGTAACTCAAGATTGGGTGTACGTGAGGACTTGAGGCTTCAGGGTGAACTTTTACTTCACGATGATCTGACTATTTTATATAGTAGAGGGTTTTGCGGCGCTCGCAACCGAATAAGGTCATATGAGCGTCAGATCTGACTATGATTTGAAAGCGTTCTTAGACTCTGAAAAGCATATGTAACAATGCTGCAAAAATGGAAAGAAAGACCGTTACCAAGAAAAATAAGAGATTGATTTTATGAGGATATGGTAGTGACTAACACGAAAAAATAAGGATTTAGGAGGTTCCTAAGCGGTGGGATAGTTCTGAAGAAGCTAATAATGCCTTCATCTAAAAAGCTATAGGTTTGACCCTAATCGGGACTTTCAAGGTGTACCCCCCCCCCCCTAAAATCTCAGAGGCCGTCCCACTTACTTTAAAGAGTAAGTTACTATTCGTATATTGAATGAGAAAAGTAGTGAGTCCCTCCAACATCACCAGTAATCACTAAACATTACCATTTGCACTTTCAGGATAATTTGCCCCCGCAGTTGCTTCCACAGAAAGATAATCGCCCATAACCGAACCTATAAAGCTAATAGTTCCCGTAAGAGTAAATGACGTAGAGTCCGAATTCACTGGGTTTTGACCGAAAGAACGATACGAAATGAGAAAAATGGGTTCTTGCCAAGTTCATTTGCTCCCAGATCTGTGAGTAAACCGATAGTTCGCCATAGTAAACGAAAAACAGACCGACAAGGGTATGCTCCTAATGTTCGGGTAGCTTAAACACGTCATCAGCATTTACAAATGAACATCTATCCGTGAGCGAACGGAACAGATGGGAGAGGTAGTATACTAAGTTGTATAGCAGAAACACAACGTCATGAAATCGGCCATATAATGCAGGGTGCAGGAACCAAAAAATATCTTTTTTTTAGATAAAGGTGGGTTTTTTTACGTCCCAATCGACACATTTCAGATCATTTACGGAGCGGGCTCCGATCCTGACTGTCAGGGCCATGCCGGGCTGAGAGGGGTACAACATCCCAAAGGAAAGACCGACATGCTCCCTAAAAATTATCCCCACATGGGAATCAAAGTCGGCAAAGCGCCTAAACATAACACCACACACGCAGGTGACCATAAAGGTAGAAAGCAAATAAAGAAGTCGCACATAACATAGTGCATTCTGACCATCAGCAGGAAAAATGTAAATTGTACTACAAACTAGATAATTAGTTTTCTACAGTTTGCAGAACACTTTACCCAGTCTGATTTCACAGGTAAAAGTAAAAAGGAAATTTCCGCCAAAGTTTGGTGACTTCCAAAGCTCGAGAGTCCTTGGAAACTAATTTTTTTACATCGTTTGTGCCTTTCATCAACGCTTTTCAGTAGAATCCACGCAGCAATGTATTTTTAAATGGACATCTTTTGTGCCTTTCATCATCGTTTTTCAGTAAAACCCACGCAGCAGTGTATTTTTAAATGAACATGAAACTGACGAACAAAAGAAAATCGATAAAAATTGTCAAGCCGGTAGAAAAATTCATGCTGTTTCCTCCGATTTCACTATTGTGACGAGCGCCTGATTTCACCAGGGCGCCTCCTCCCAAATGTTTCTCCCGAGATGGATACAGTGACCGCTGTGATACAGTTGTTCATAATTTACTCAACAAACATTAGTTCTAAGAACAAAATCTGGTCGTTTCTACATTCGCTAACAAGCTGTTCAACAGTTCTAAGCCCAGCAAAATTTGCCAAGAGAAAAAAAAAACTTTTTCATTCTTTTACAAATCTTAGTTACATTGTGTATGTTTTTTGCTTTTATCAGCATTTATAAATCTAAATTTCTACAAAATACCCCCCCCCCCTCCCCAGGGCAGTGCTACTGACTGAAGTGTCTTTAGGCCATTCCCAAATTGGGATATTAACATGTTCTTATGCACAGAAGAATTGTGAACGGGTTGATTTATCAATGTCATGCTCATACTGACAAAGAAAGACATAGCTGGCCGGAACAACATATGGGGAATTCTTTCCTCATCCTTACTATCGTCATTTTTCCTCTACTTCTATTGTATGTTTGTCACTCTCTTGTGAACTGCTATTTCCGGGGTGCCTTAATAGTAGAAGCTAACTTTGTGCTGTTGAGGCTAGAGGGGTGAGCAAAGTAAGCCTGATTCCCTGTTTGGACTTCTCTGTTGACATCCACCTCTTGGCGGTCATATGACCGAAACCAGTTGCGAGAGCCGTAAAGCCATACAGAAACTATACCAAATATTTCTCAAGCACAAGGAACCGAAACGACATATTAAAAAACGTCAATTTTTAATAGTGCATCATCTAGGCAGCTGGACGACCTAATATTTCTCGGCCCTCTCCAAAAGTAAGCGTTTCCTAGCACTGTCTTGTCTGTACACCTAAGCGCTACCCTTCCCTCGTGTTAATGTATGGTTCTCACCTTCGACAAAATGTTGAAAACTGGGCGATCCAGACAACATTGTAAGTGAAAAAATAATGATAAGGGTTAAAAAAAACTCTTTGTGAAACGTTTTTATACCAGGTTGTAAATGAGATAGATAGATAGATAGATAGATAGATACATAGATAGATACATAGATAGAAAGATAGATAGATAGATAGATAGATAGGTAGATAGATACATAGATAGATACATATGAAGATACATATATAGATACATAGATAGATAGAGTTAGGGAGACAGAGGGAGTGATAGTTAGAGACAGACAGACAGACAGACAGACAGACAGACAGACAGACAGTCAAGCAGGCAAGCATACAGACAGATAGACAAACAAATAAACAAAGGAAAAAATCGATCCCACCCCCGCCAAATCATTAACTACAAGTTTCTGATTCTAAACATATTATTAGGTACAAAAACCTTAACTCAGCCACTATTCCTTGTAAGGACGATCTTAAACAAAGGCTTGAATGCACAAGCTGTTCACATTCATATTTACAGCTAACAAGCTGATGTTTACTGTTACTGCATGCTTTCTTTCAATATGCTGGGCTATTGAGCTCTCTATACTGTTTAATAGCAGTGTCCCGCTGTATGCTGTAAGCCTAGCCGCACGCTCGACTTAGAATTTGTTACTGCTATAAGGTAGCCGTTTGAGAACCTCGAAAAAGGAAGGTAGTAAAATATTACCTGACGTCAATAATAAGTCAACGTTTGCAAAACAAGCCATCTTCAGCAAGGCGGGATTTCCATCTGGAAAAAAATAAGTTTGATGTCTAGTAAAACGAATGTGCATATGAAAGAGGAACTCAGTTTGATACCTGTGCTAACGGTCATGTGTCCAAGACAATCACCTGTACAAACAATCACTTCTCACTTCCCCCCTTGCGTTTTTTCCCTTTAATATTAAGACGTCCAACTTTCTGTGAGAATCACTTTTCACTATGACAACAGGCTGTCTGGTTTAGTGTTAGTTTTAGTTTTAGTAAAGTTTTACGGTGTTTGCAGCACAAATAGGTTTTATAAGCGCTGAAGACTAGAAGTGTTACTAAAGAAAAGAAGAAGAACAGATAAGGACGATAGATGTTTAATAGGAATGAAGGAGCAAACCACACCAGAGCTCCCGCCAACCACCCAAGGAGCTTGTCTTTGACAATTACGACTGTAGTCAAATCCAAAGTGTACTCCGCTATGCCAACACATCTGCTGTCCTTATTGTATACTACTTGGAATAAAACGCATGTCGATGCCTTTATTTTCATCAGGCGATTAAACTACAATACATAAATAATTAATTTCGCAGAATGGCCAGCTCGCGTAAGGAGATAAATGCCAAACTTCTGTGCACAGAGAGCCCCCCCCCCCCCCCCCATGTAATCATTATTACATTAGAGAAGAACAAGTAACGCCAGTAAAATGGTCTTGAGTGAGTAAATAATTCGCTGAAAATACCTCGGGTCGGTTCAAAAAGGGAGCACAACATTGTTTATCCTTCAGAAATTTAATTCCAGACCCACCCTATTCAAGGCAGGCATGTCTAGACAGGAAGCACGCGTCGCCAGTAGACCCAGATAGTCTCTATTTCTTACCACCAACGCAAAGCTTACGTCGCTTAGAATAACCAAGACCATGGTCCAACCGTTCCATTTGCAATACAGTTCGTTTGTAGATAGTACGTTTTGGCTCTTTTGGTGCCAGAACCGAAACTCATGTAGCGGTATCTTTAGATCTGAAATCCCACGCGTCGTCACACCTTCAACCTCACGTGCATTAGCCCCAGTAACAGCCTGACACGTCGGACATTCTCTTCCTCGGAATGTCCCTATCTTTAGGATTATCGTAAACAGTTTCTCCACTCCTGTAAATGTCATGCGTATCTTCTGCATATTGAAAGGTCTAGCATGCACACCGTGACACGCTCAGTGCTTGTGTTTATGTTGTCGGCTCCCTTCCCTAGCTATAAAATATTAAGCTCTTACACATGCGTCCCTGCCATCCCACATCACTTCTGTCTCCTGTTCTCTCTCTCTCTCTCTCTCTCTCTCTCTCTCTCTCTCTCTCTCTCTCTCTCTCTCTCTCTCTCTCTCTCTCTCTCTCTCTCTCTCTCTCTCTCTCTCTCTCTCTCTCTCTCTCTCTCTCTCTATTTATCTCCCTCTCTTTCTCGGTGTCTGTCTGTCTGTCTAACTACACACACACATACACACACTCACATACACACATGCACACACACGTTTTCAACATTATCTCTCGATTTCCTTTCACCCAACGACAGTCATGCTCCGACTTCTCATGTCCTAGGGATCGATATTCTAGAGGCAGCTCTAGTGTAATGATAGATTGCAAAAATGTTCCCTGGAGGGAAACGGTCTACAGCAGACGCAAACTTTTACTTCCTTCTTGAAAGGCAAAAAATAATGTTTCTAGCTTCAAGCTTGTACACACAAAGAAATGAAAAGAGTCTTTTTGGGAGGCGCAACGTCAGCGCTTGAAAGATTCTTTGAGAAACCGGAAGTACGGTAAACAGTTATCGTCTTCAGAAAAGATCTCGTAACGTAACGTAAGTGTATAGGTTTAACGGCCCTATCAACACTATAAGGTTATTTACGAGGCGGGGGAAATATCTCAATAAAGTGTAGCTGTTAACTCAACAAACTACACAAAAGGTGCGGATGCCTCTACTCTAGCGTACAGGAGTAAGCTCCATGCTGAGGTATTTGTAAAGCATGTCAGCAGAAGTAATACGTCTGAAAGCTTTAGTATGAACGGGAAACATTACCCAGGCTACCCAGCCGCTGATTCGAGAACATATTTGTGTCCAATATGCATAAACTTAAGGTAATTCATACCTAATTGGACCATATGCGTCTTAGAATAGCCATGAAATAAAGTTAGTCTTACCCCATGACTCCTGGGAACAATAATAATCACTTTGTGAGACTTTGGGCAGCGTTCAAAACGTGCAGATTTTGCATTAAAGATTTGAATTGTTAACCCTTTTCCTCTCCCCCCCTTCCTCATTCCATCTTCATTCCTCTTTCATCTGCCACCCCCCCCCCCCCCTCCCCCACCAAAAAAATGATACCCTTAAATCCATCACTCGTGAGACACAGATTGCGCGAAGAGGTTGTGGCTGTGTCTGTGTGTATACGCCTGAACTCAACGAAGACGCATATTCTCGTTCATCTGACAATGCTTGAAGACTTGCTGTTTTGGGGCACTGCTACCACATCCACATAGATTTTTCACTTTTTATTTTCTTTACCTGAAACTTTAAATGGCATGCATCAACATGCATACATTGAAAAAAAATGAAAATAAGTGCTTCTGATTTGTATGTTATTATGGTGGTCGGGAATGTGCCACAACATTGCCTTTTGGAATGCTGTTGATTGGATATTTGTGACCGCTACGTCCATTAAAAAGTTCAAACGACCCGCCCCGTTTCATCTTCACAACCCTCACCAAGTTTCAATTATACCTTATTTTGCACTTATTGCTTTTTTAGAGGATGTAGAGAAGCTGTTAGCGGGAAAGCTATCTCCAAATTCTTACACAAAAAGTCTATACTTGTTTCTTGTGCATGTAATCTGAATTCTCGCTCATTGCGTGCCTAAACATAGGTTCGCGTTTTTATAGAGTGTCAACGATTTGACGTTTCAAAAAAAAAAAGAATAAAAAGAACTTTACATGCTGCAACTGGTAGGAGTCTAACAGAATAATGCATCCCCTTACCCCCCTCCCAACAAAAACATCCGCTAAAAGGAGGCCAACCACCCCCTACACATGTACAAATATTATATGATACACACTTACACACACACTTACACACACACACACACACACACACACACACACACACACACACACACATACACACACACACAAGCGTATACACACACACATACACACACACACACAAGCGTAGTACATATCATACTCATGCATGTATAATATAATAAGGCATATATGTGTGTGCGCGCGTGTGTGAGTTTGTGTGTGTTTGCAAGTGTATATGTGTAAGTATGTGTGTGTGTGTGTGTGTGTGTGTGTGTGTGTGTGTGTGTGTATGTGTGTGTGTGTGTGTGTGTGTGTGTCTGTGTGTATACACAACGAATCACCCAACACCGCTCCCAACGCAAGACATCTGTTTAATTTCAAAATGCTAATGGAATTGCACACTGCATTGGGTCTCACACAGGTCAAGTCGTGGTCTGTAATGAGCAAGTACAAAAAAAATTATCAAACTGCCTTCTTCAAGATCACACTCTTCCCAATCACATACGAATTCATTAAAAAATCAGACCACAATTTAAGGATAAGTTCATGTCCTTCGTTCAGGTGCATCTTGATTATGGTATTTAGTTTATCGTTAGCTGCTACCATCAAATCTAATTGCAAACTGCACATTCATTGTTTCAAGCAAATTAGATTGTGAACCTTGTCATGCTACAAATCAAAGAAAGGGGAAAACTTGGCTGAGTAGCGTTAAAGGGGTCTTTCAAAAGAACAACACATTTTAAAAGTATTTTCAACAACAGAAGCCACCCACCTAGCACTTGACGGAAATTTGCACCTTCCCTCGACTCAAATGATGCAAAAGGAAGGATAAGTAAAATACGATAAGTAAAAGTATCTTGTTACACGAAAGTAATAGGCTTGACCTACCATAAACGTTTCTCCTTATGGGATCCTATGTGTCTAGCAATGAAAACAGTCTAGATCTATATCAGCTTCAGCCAGGCGTTAAACGTTTAAGAGGATAATGTCATTTTTTGAGAGTATGTTACTTAGTCGAGGTGAAACTGCCGTCTGTGATATGTATGGTGTGCTTCCCAGTGTTACAATTTCCTCCAGTGTCTCTAAATAGGTGTTCTCTGGCGGAATTCATTATATTTTGTTAAATGTTTTATTACAGCGCGATAATCCTATAAATCAAAATAGTATATTGTTAGTCTTGAAAATGTTTTGATAACACCTCTCTGTGTACAGAAGAAGAAGAGCTTCTATAACCTGCGTGTTACAGTTTAAAAAGTTGATAATTTAATTTACAGCCGTATCTGGCAACAAGGGAGCAATATAACTAACAATTGGATGATGAATTCAGTTTTTCGCTTTGCACACTTTATTCACTGTCACTATAATTTTTTAAATTTAAAATGCATTATATCTCGAATAAGTCAGTTGATGCTCCTCATCAAGACATGTAACGTCTCCTTGATTGGACTTTATTTATTATAAATTGTGTAAAACTGGTTCAAAGTTTGGCCGAGTTATTGCATTTTAAAGACTTCCGGTACCAAATCTATTGTCCGTTACATAAGGTTCATTTTCTTTCAAAGAAACGCCATCTCTTTAGTTTCAACCGAAATAACTGCAGCTCGTTGAACTGTCCGACTCTCGGAAGCAACTATTTTTATACGTTATTTTCCCAGTTACAATTCCCCATTCTTTTCAAAGTGAGAGAGGCAACAGAGAATTTGAGAAAAGGTTGTTCCTTATTCCTGTTGCCCAAAAATGTTTGAATGCACTTCAAGCAATAAAAAAATGCTTTTATACTAACCTGAAAAAAATGGAATCTGCGAAAAATAACAGAATTATAAAGTAGGGCCTATTGGTCGAAAATTGAAAAGAGCATGCCGGTATTTTTTCATTTGCAGCAATTCCAAAATACAGATACGTCTTCCAGTGCTCAACTACCAGGCTGAGGTTTGCCAAACTTTAAACAAATTTAGAACAAAGTGGTGTTGCACATA